GGGGCGACCTTCGGGACGGTTGAAAGCACCGGTGGATGAGAAAAGGGATGGCGGTCGAACAAGACTTCAACAGAGTGAACCAAACGGTTGTGCATATTTAGATTTAAGAGTTCATTTCGAGAGTAGGACAACTGTACATTATGAAAAGTTTTCAAGACCTTGTCGATCGATTAATATCTTTGCCGTGTTGATATTTCCAACAATCGCATTGAAAATGGTTCTTGAGTTGCTACGACGTATTTGGTAGTAGATCGTTACTGAGCGAATGTCACTATGTCGCCTTCAAGCGACGAGAGCCCTACTACCTAGCGAGGCCAGCAGCATGTGTAGTGGGAGTAGCCATCGGGTGAGCCCTTTAGCTGTGAAGGCTAGAGTGGATACTCCTGAGAGGCTGTATGAGTGGTTGAAGAAGTGCAAACACTGCAAGCTGGTAGTATTGGAGTCTTCCTAGTACAGCGAGTATATGTTGCATATTATAGTAGTAGTATATGTGTCATCACATACTAGGAGTAGTTTCAAATGATAAAGAGCGTGACCGTTGGAGCCCACTCCGCCGAATTCATCGTCGTATGTGAATATTAAACGATCGTCTTTCGTGAGTTCTCTCCAATGGTAGTCAGTGTACGGTTTTCAGACTGGCATCGTTGGAAGGATTGGGGTTTTGCTGCCGAAGTGGTAGTTGAGAATTTTCAAGAACTTGATTCCGATCAGGTCCATACGGAATTGCCAGAGTTGGGGTGTGAGATAGTCGATGTTAGCATGCTGAAACGCAAGTCTGAGGATAAAGTGTAGTGGCCTTAGGAGGGTGCGGGGAGGATGCCAGGCGCAGGTACCTGAAGAATGACCTATTGCACTGTGTGCTACGGAGGGGACTGTCGTTAGCATTGATAACAGGGGAAGGGAATAAGAAAAGGAGACTTACTGGGGAGGTAGTACTCGCTGATGGATGGAGTGGTAGGTGTGAGTGCAGGGGGCTGATGATGATGCGGCGAAGGATGAGGCCATGAAGGTGGTCTTATTACGACAGGGCTTGCCTAAGTTCTTTGATATTGATGTTGATGATGACCTCACTGGTACGACCGGGGACTGTGCGCTCTTGATGGTTCAGGGTAGATTTCCGGGTAGGGCTACTCTTGCATGCTGTTTCGAAAGCCTTGCTGTATAAAATAATGAGTCTGATGAATTTATATGTAACACATTGTTCTGGTGATAAGAGTGCTTAGGCTGTTGACAGATTTGCCATCGCTAAGGTAGAGGTCTAGGCGCGTGTGAAAATAAGAATTCCGGAGATCGGTGTGGCGTTCTTGGTATTGTAGTTGTTTGTGATGCCTCAGAGCAGCAGCCAGAGAAGCCATCGTGGTTGAGGAAGCGTTTAGCGGAGCGGTGGCCGACTACTCTCTATTTACTGGATAAAGCGAATGGGGAGAATGCGCAGGTACGTAGGGGATTTTCAGTGGGGGGGAGGTGTGCACATGATCAACTACATGTACTAGCAGCCCGCGTCGCTTCGCTCCGGGGAAGCTGTAGCTACTACGGAGGGGGGTTATAGTACATTTCCTGCTTGGTGTTTGCACCTGGTTTGTTATGAAAGTAAAGCGTGGACTCCACAGTGAGGAATAATAGTTGAAGGTTGGTAGAATTGTACTCCCATACGATCGCCAAATTTGCACGAACTGCGGGGGTAGACAAAT